AGAGGAGCGGGGCACCTTTTTACCCTCCGCCCCGGTTTTATCTGTTTCTTCTCTCCTTCCCCAGCGTTCCACCGAATCCCCCTCCCGCCCGGGTGTCATTCCTCAACGCTGAGTGACAGCTTCAGGTCACACCCCTTCGCTGGGCTGTCCGGAGCACTCCGGGCCGTCGATTGGCTGGCTCCTGCAGAGAGACGTTGACTGGAAGAGGCAAAACTGGGCACGTTGAGCTGCTATAGACAGAGTCGGATTTAACCTCTTCTCTCCTGAGCCTGGTCCTCGAAGCATCCCCCAGTAACGAGGAGGCTCACCCATCCCGAAACTCACTTTGGCAGATGTGACCACCTACTCCAGGGCTCTTATGGAACACTTTCAGTCAAAGTCTGCGGCGAAAATCCAAGATAATGCAGTTTCATAAATGACTCGGAGTTTCTGTTCTTTAGGAAGGATCCCAAAGTCGGGGGAAGAAAAGTATCCATAAAGTATCGCTGCTTCCTCTGTGCTAACGCTATTATCTGAAATAATCAGTTAAAATCGTTTTGGAAATATTTTCCTTTCCTTGTCGCCTTTGATTTGGTTTGACTTCTATGGAGGAATTGATTTTTAAAATCATATAGTTAGAGCTAAAGTCAGGCGGGAAATTGGAAGGCATCTTTGGGAGAGTTTCTGGAATTGTCCAGTCACTTCTCTGGGCAGTGAACACTGAATTTAATTGGAGCTTAAGTTTTACACCAGGAAGAGAAGAAAACCTTCCAATTTGTTCTTTAAATATTTTGTTACTTGTGAATTTAATAGAAACAGATAAGTGTTTGTTTGAAGGAATATCTGGGAATTACCATAGTAATGATCCAGAAGTGACAAAATTTAATGCTGTTTAAAAAATAAGAAACACATTGTTTTTGGAGTAGAAGAAGCCAAGTAAGAAACACAAATATTGTGGATATATTAAAACATGTTGTTTTGATTTTAAATAAAAACTTGTTCAAGAAACATTTTACTGTCTTCTACAAATTATACCAGAGGTTTAAGAACATCAAATACACAAACTTGAACCATTAAATACATTTAAATAACTGTGATTTAATGATTTGCTGGGATTTATGTTTTAATGCCATTAAAATAAAAATAAATTCCTGTTTATTTTTTTAATTGTCTTGTTCTGTTTTGCAGGAGGAGGTACATGTACAAGGCATGGTTTTCAGACCCAGAATGAGGTTTCACATTATCTGGACTTCAGCATTTTATGCACATGATTTTTTTGCTTTGTTCAGAATCTGTCATGTACCTTGGAAAAAATTCCCATTTGAAGAGACCATTGCCATCTATAACTTTTTACAATTATGTCAGTTTTGAAGGAAAGGTCTTTAAATTTGATGTCAGGAATTTGCATAAAAGCCAGGGACACTCTTCACCTCAGGGAGAGAACATAACAGAATGCTTGCAACGTTTCTAGAGAAAGTGACCTTTCCCTCCCTACAAACTTTCCCCATTAAAAAAAAAAAAAAACAAATTGCCACCCCTACTGCCCACTTTAGTCAGGGGTATAGGGAGTACAGAAAGTTACTGTTATTCTTTCGGAGCAGACGAGGTTGACGTAGGTTTCCAAGACGGTAGGAGACGGGCAGGTGTAGACTTTGTACCCCATGGCGTTGTGAGTTTGTGGGCTTACGTCCTGGTTGGACAAGGAGTAGAATGTGTTTCGGACATACAGGCGGGCCGAGATGTTTGGAAGGTGAATGTCCGTCTAATAGATAAAATTGAGAGCTATATACTTACTGGAAAATAAGAACTACTATTTAGTTGACCCCCCAAAAAATCTTTTAAAAAAATCCATCAAATCTCGGTTGCCACAGATTTGGGAAGAGGTTTTCAAAGCATGAAAGATGCGTTCGGTGATCTTGAGTTGTAGGGGCATTTTGTGTGCCGGGAGTAGAAGAAAGTGCCTGCATTCCGCGTCTCAGCCGGCGCGACAGAGGCTGCCGGTGTCATCCAGGGCAACTGCGGCGGTGAGTCGATCTTTAGGTTTGGTAAGCGATTGCAGGCAGGCCAGGGAAGTGGGTGTTTGCCCGGGAATAAATACACTGATCTGGAGCTATAACCAGAAGCTGCTCCTAAAAGGGGGTTAGGTGGAAATGAAAGGCTTTTGGGGACCAAGAGTGGAGGTAGTCGGATACACAGAGATACCCTGGGGTCTATCTACAGAGTCACAGAGTCGAGGCCGAGAGTGAGGTATGCGACTAGAGCTCAGGAAGTCAGCGCGCTTTTTAGGGCCATAGATGCTGGGCACCGCCGAGCGTAAGAGCTGTTGCGCCGGGAATCCCGCTCCGAGCTCAAGGAAGGTGACTTCCTCCAGGAGCAGCTCTAAGCTCCGGGAACCCGCAGACCGCAGTGTTGCCTGCCGTTTTGTTAGCGCCGCGCTGCGGCCTGCGATGGCCAGGAGTCGGCGGAGCTGGGGAGCCGGGCTGGGCGGCCGGCGAGGCTTACAGGGGGCGTCCAGCTCGCTTGGCGCCCGCGCCTTCCTCCCGGGCCGAGCCCTCTCCTCGCCCCTGGCCCCGCTCTTCCCTAGTCTTCTCCTTCGCCTCCCTCTGCTTCCTCCTCCAGCGGCCTCCTCTCCTTCGAGTTCTTCCTCCTCCTTTGCTCCTCGGGTTCCCCCTCTGCAGTTCGGTTTCTGCGCGCCTCCTACGTGCTGCGCCCTCGGATCCTGGAGATGGCCCAGGCCTCGAGCGCCGCTGGGCGGTGACGCTTCCGCCTGCAGCGGTCAGAGAGTGGGATCAGGATGGGAAAGAGGTTGGGGCTGCCGAGCTGGGAAACCCGGCCTCCGGCGCGCGCTCAAGCTGCTGCGCACGCCTTCGCGCTCCAAGGAGCCTAAGTCCGCTGGGCATTTTCCTTCTGGGTCACAGTGCGACGCGTTCTTTCTGTCTGCCACCTGCATCCTCCCTTGGCCGCTTCGTTCAGGCAAATGGAGACCAATTTCTCCGCCACTAGCGTCCGCAGGGCGCGCATCGGGAGCTACCCGGTTCTGCAGGCCTTGCAGGTCTCACCACTCAGTGCCGGCCTCCTTGACTGATGTCACTTGTCTTCCTTAGTTTTCACTCCTTTAAAACGAGGGTTTGGATATGGTGCCCTGGCCGCTGCAGAGCTGCTCCAATAAGGGGGAGTGGCGGGGGGCTGGCTGTAGGCTTGCCAGAACTCCATCTAGGCAGAGGTCCTGCCCCGACTGTTTCGCCATCCCCAGACTCCTGCAGACTCTCCAATCAGCCGGAGCATCTCAGGCGTCAAGCCACACGCTGCTTTCCCGCCGGCAGACACCGGCTCCTGCGTTCCTAAAATTATCAGCCTACGGCTGGGTTTTCGGTGTACGTAGACCAGGTGTATTAGGGAGTCTGTAGGGAGAAGCGTCACTCTGACCCGCCACAGTAGTTTTTGACGGGCCAAGGTAAACAGTTACTGCTCGTCGACAATGCGCTAGAAGCCGAAGGCTACTCTGTTACTTCGTGTACACCAACCACCCTGGGGATGCAATGAGTAGGAAACATTATTCTCATTTTACAGACTTGGGAACTGTATGCGTAGACGGCGGAATCAGAATTCAAATCTAGCCTCATCTAATGTCAAATCGAGTCGAATTTCCCCCTCTAACCGGTTTTTCTCATTAACGTCCAGGTGTATTCTCATTAAGCGTTTTCCATCATCATTATTATCAGTTTCTAATTACTCGTTCATCAGAGAAAGAACTTTATTTGCATTTAAGGAAGTCAAAGAAAAAAACGAAGCAGGCAGATTAACCATTTTTTCCCCTATTTTGCGTATTTGAGAATAAAGCACTTTAAGGCCCGTGGATCGGAACCTAATTTCTCTTTAAGGAGAAACACACCATTTTATTTTAGTCAATAAACAAAACCATGCGTAGAGGGAGGCAGCCAAGTGATGGAAGCTCACTGGGTTCAGAGATCAGATTAAGTGTGTGAGTCCGAGATGTAGGGAAGCGACCTCAGGAAGACACTTTCCATTTGGAGTTTAGGTTTCTCGCTTGTAGAAAGCCAGGGTGGGAGATCCCCTCTAAAGGTACTAAAATCAAAGCACCGGCTCGGGAACCCTCCTGGTACGTGGAGAACGGGCGCCACCTAGCGGAAACTCCTTCGGGATGCATGGTGGACCGATATAGAGAAGTACCGAACCTAAGTAGAGGAGACAAAAAGAAGAGGTTGGTTCCCCAAAACAGAATATTTTTGCTCCCAGTTTTATGTTTCCACAGTCTTACGTGATCGGTTATATAATATCAGAGATGTTCGTTTTTGAAAACTCTCCCAGACACAGAATTACACTTAAGACTGAGCTCATTCAAGGGTAGGGGGAAGGGATTGGGGACAGGGTGCTCTTAGGTAGGAATCAGTTCCAACCCCGTGGGTGTTGTAGTGGGGCGAACCTAGAGACCTCTGGCCTCCTTTCTAATCCATCTTGGATTCAT